TGTCCCAGTGTAGCAAGGGTAAAAGGTGCTGCAGAATAACCTGCCCTGGGCACCCATCAGCATTCTTCAGCACCATTCTGCCCCTTGCTGCAGCACAACCTCCTCCTTCAGGCACTACATTCTGGTGGGCTATACTGTGGAGCTCAGCTTTCTAGGGTCCTTTAGGCACCCACAGTGCAGGAGCAGCAGCTGCTGCAGAGAGAGGAACATCTGGCACTAGGAGCTGGCAGCCTTGCTCTTAGTATCTCAGAAGGTTTTCTCCCTCTGGACTCAACTCACTTGGGCTTCCTGGTCTGAAAGCCCATCAGGACCTGGAACTCATATAGATGTGATGCTTGATCCTAAAAACCCAGTTCATGTGCTTAAAGACTGGTCTGTGATATGAGGAATAGCACACTGAGTGGCAGGAGGCTGAAGCCTGGCCTCAAAATGCCATTTCTGACAAAATGAAAACAGTAATGTAGCTCCCTAGAGAGACACACACATGTACCTTCAGAGATCCTAAGCTATATTCCTGCCTTGCATCTCATTTTTGAGAGCCTCAAATCCTACCTTAGTCATCTAAGACAGGTAACTAAATTTCAGGGGCTTGAGTGAGTCTCTCGTGTTTTACATCATGCAGAATTGGTCAGAGGTGCGAGTCCAAAATACAGACTCACAACTGCCTGAGGATGAACACTTTGAAATCAACTTTTTTCAGACACTACGTTTTTTCAGAGATCAGACCCTGTAAGGAAATGGAAAGTACAATATAAGGATTAGTGTTTAATATTACTAAAATTACATTTTCCAAAAGATTATTTGGAATTGTCACAGCATAACAAAACCTGGTCTTTCTTTCTGGCATACGGAATAGTCGAGGGTACTTAGATAATACATAGCAAAGTTCCTGAATTTCTAATGGCAGCAACTGTACATTCACAAGAACTTAAACCTTTCTAATATTTTGTTTGATGTAAGAAACATCTTAAGGCATTAAATGAACCACATCACATTTAAAGTAAGAGGCTGCAGTATAGACAACCACATACTTGTGTTTATTTGCCCACTTTGAGGTGTTCTAATAAAGTCTGTCTGCACAAAGTAAATAAATATATGATTCTGGAATCAAGGACTAATTTGGAAAATAGTATTTTTCATGATTCTCATTTCAAACCATATTGACACTGTATATTATTGGTTTGCATTCTTATGAATTCCAGGTTGAATAGACAGAACTTCATATTACTGGTTTTAAAAAGTAACTCACTTAAAATTAGTTTGTCTCCACAAACTTCTTGCTGCACTTAATTAACAGAATAAAATAGCCAGCATTTAAAAATGGGCTTTTTTAAAAAATGGTACTTTCATGCCACTAGAATGCAAAAGGTCTTTTGGAAATCTGGAACCATACTTTTAAACAGATGCAGGAAATGAAATGTATCTATTCACTGATGAAATCCAGAATAACACATGTTCAAATAGGTAACACTGTTATATTAAAATTATGCTAACGCTACAATCTAGCATAATGTTAGTCCTCTGAAGGTCAGATCACCTAAAACTTCCATCAAAAAGCACAGCAAATCAATCCAAATATATTTAGTTCTACTTAAGAGCACATATTTTTGGTATACTACATAACATCACTTCAATAGGCACAGTACCATAAAGAATTTTTTTAATTAAACTTATTTAAGAATATCATGACATAAAGAGAACAAATAACATTTTCTGATATGTGCTGGTTGGTTTGCTGCTTTTTAAAAAATATTTGTTTTCACTTGCTTACAGATTTTTTCAAAAGCTGATAGCCCATTATAATCATGGTTTTTCCTTGTCACTGGGCTGGGTTGATTTACAAAATACTTGTATTTATTATATGTGAAATGAGAGGCTGCAACATAAAGCCTGGATTTTGACATATGTCTATGAACTTTACTATGCTTTAAATAGGAATCTTCTGTAGGTATTTATACAAAAAATAAAGACATTTAATATGTTTGTAATTTATATTTTGATTTTTCATGATCAGTTATAACACAGAATTTAAAATTTTCCTCTTCAGTTCAAGACTGAATTTCTGACCAACTTGCTCTAAAAAAGGGCAAGTCTGGGTACAGAGTCACCTCTGAATATTTTGTGAAGTTAGTGCACAAAATATGCTACATATATAAACTAAATCTGACCTGCAGTCGAGGCTATAGCATTTTGTATTCTCTCAATATCACTTTTATCTTCTTGAAAATAAAACTACCGATTAAGTCTCACCAGTTTATCCCTTTGAAATACAGCAATTTACAAAAAAAATAAATCAATTTACAGGCTAATGTTTGCCTCTTACAGGTTGCGTATTTAGTGCCCAGTTACAAAAGTCTCACTGATGAATACAGCAGTTCTACAAATGGAATACTTAAGAGAGACCTTTAGGATACTCTGCTGGAGTGCCTGAAGTTCATGCCATTAGCTCATTTCTGCATGAGTATTTTTTAAAAAAACTTGTTTGGGGGGAGGAGGGGAAGGGGGCATTCATATCACAGAATTCTTTAATCTACAGCAATTTGCAAAGACTTACTTTCTGCTGTCTCGGGTGAATGTTATGTTCATTTAAGCACATTAAACAACATCCCTCAAACAACTCTCAGTGGTACAACTACACACATAACATCAATGGATGAAGGAAAAACATTCAGCTGGCAGCTGATCACACTCTGCTGTTTCCAGCAGAGTCCTGACTGAGGTGTTGGCGTGGGCCAGCGCTGTGATAGCTGAGCGCCACAACAACCCACTCAAAGGAAGGTGACGGTTTAGGAGCACGGAGGAGAACTGTCATTAACAGACATCGAGCTTCCGTTTTCAGCATTGTTAGTGCTCTGTCAAAATTTCTGTTCCCAGTATATGCTTTCCTGACAAGGACAGTGCCTGAGGTACCACTGTTAAACCCCTCAGACTCTTGTAGGTTTGGATTCAAAATATCTGGCATCTGTAGTTTCTCAGGAAAAAACCTGAGATCCCGTGGACACCCACGGTAGTTTTATATGCCGTTCAAAGACCAGGGTGTGACTACCTTTTTTAGTGACAATTCACATAAACAAACACATGATGATGACTATGAATATGTCATATTTTAATGACATTTAAAGCATTTAATATCTGGATTATGATATAATTCCATTCTATTTAGGATGGAAAATAAATGTGTAACCCTTGGGTATGTATTAATAAGAAGTAAGCATGTACTGAAAAACATATCAAAGTGGTAAAAAGAGTCCCCGGAAACATATTTTCAGATTATTTTGTACTAATATCAAGTGATCTCCACCATACTTCAAGGTAAGGATACTCTCACACACATAAATTCAAATTTTTCTAATGCAAACCAAAACAACAGATACATGATTTTCCCCTACAGTTTAGTCACCTTTTGTCCCTGCCTTGTGCTTTGAATTATTCCAATTTTGAAAAAGCTTTCCTCTAGCTTCACTTTTGAAGTTTTAATTATCTTAATATGTTGAAAGGGATATGACAAAATTAGTCTTTCTGCTATACAAGGCAGATGGTGTCCATAACCCTTATCTGCTATGTGTTTTTGTAACAAGTCTAAATGAAAAAAAAAAAAGTTCTGATTTCAATATAATAAACAGAAATCTGACAAAGTGCTATTCTAAATGTTATGCACACACAGTAGCTGCATTAACTGTTCTTCCTGGAGTTTTTTAGGTTCTCTTATCCTGTCCGCCAAAAAAAATCCCTCACCTTTTCTGTTGTTTCAGCTATATTTCACTCACACTCCCACCATTTTTCCATCTCTACTGATGTGAGTAATAGCAGAAAATTAAATCATTTTGGAAAATAATGCTTAAAGTTCTTAATTTTAAATTTACAACTCAGATTTCATTATTAATGATGGAACTAGTATGTGGTCCAGAGTGATGTCATATTCTTAATATATAAAGACCCTCAGCATTCTGACACATATACTTTACAGGTTATTTAATTTATTCCTGTCATTTACCAAAAATATATATAAAAAAGGAAATTAGTAAGCATAATGTAGAATGTCTATTTTGCTGAGAGCCTGAGTGCAACAGAGGTTCTACTTATGATGTGAAATCAAGGTAAAATGTGGAAACAATGTATTAGGTGGATTATCTCTGAAATAAATCCAACAGCTAACTCTTGTGAATAAAGAACAGTAGATTTACAGAATTTAATTCTTCCAAAAAAAAGGAGGAGTTAAATAGCAGACAAAATATTTTTACACCCTTGCACTTAATTTTTATTTAAAATTAAATTCATATCACATTTTTACTTGAAAAAGGGGGACTAACTCATGGAAAGATGTTTTGCCTTTTGTGGTTTGGTTGGATTTTTCTTAATGTACCAGTCCAATATGGCTATATCTTTGTTACTGTTAGACTAAAAGAACAAAATAGAAAAAGTAGCATGACTTCTTGTATGGACACAAGTATGGATTTACAACCGTGCTTAAAGTGCTTTCTTATTTGAGGAGATACTTACACAAATGCCTTTTCATGCTTATCTCCTTGTAACCATGTACTATATGCTTGTTGCTTGCTCTTATGTCATTTATAAGATAATGATAGGGTATTAAGTTCATACTCAGTATATTGTCATTAAAAACATCTGAAAACAGGAAAATGACAATTCCGGTTTTTTATTATTACAGCAATTTGAAAATTTTATTAAATACTGAAGTGCTTCATTTTTTCATTTATTCCTTTGCTTCCAGTGATGCTTAAAGCACTATGTAAGTACAAATAAATCATACTAAAAGCATATCCATTCTATTCTGGGTTTTCATCTAGGATTATTTACTGATTTCTTGCAGAACAGAGATGAATTTATGATCCCACGTGACCACTTATCTGCTGATGCTGCAAGATGTCTTGCCTCCAGGATTGGTTTCCATGTACATGGTTCGCCAAAGGTCTACATCTTATGAATATTTATACATTATTATGTCTTGTTGTTATGTGGCAGTGCTGCAATATGAGATGTCAAGTAGTATACTTCAATTTGCCAGTACCAGAAGTTGTGGGGGCAGCAGAAGCTGTGGCTTTACTGCCTACATACAAAGGGTCCAAACAAGCCACTTTGGCTGCAAAGAATGAGTGGATGCAGTGAAGGACTGCAAACAGGTTGGAAAACTCCAGCTCCTGGAAGTGAAAACAAAAAGATTAAACATGAAATACAAGGATATCTCACAAACATACACCCAGGAATGAACTGCTATTCAAATAGCAATAATTTTAATAGTTTGATGTAATTCTGCTAATGTGCCTGACAGTTCTCCATTATAGGGACTTAGATAGTGAGCCACCCCCATTTAGTAAATAATAGTTTGAAGACTAAGATGAACAGATTTCTGAGCTAAGTGCCACCATAGAAATATAAGAGCCTACTGGCTAAAGAGGAAGGAAAATGACACTATATATATATATATCATTTTTTTTTGCCTCAGGTTAACATAAATCTGGCACTTTTGCAGATTAATTTTGATAGAAGTTGAATGACTGCATCGTAACAGTCTACACATCTCTGGACTACTACTGTATACCCAAGGTACCACAAAGATCAATAATGTTGTGTTCCACATATGTTACATTTGAATGTTACATCATATCACATTGGTAGCTATTATTTTATCTGTGCTGAGTCTTTACACACACCCCACCCCACTCCCCACAAAAAAAAAAGACACATTTTCAAAAGGTGCTACTATCACATAGTGATATTCTGGATCTGGTTTTGGAGTGAAAAAAAGGAACAGACTCCATGTTTTAAACATATCAGCAGTATTAGACTAAGTCCTTCTTTTTTTACTTTAATTTACATTTCTTTATAGCTCCTTAGCATGTGATTAGGCTAGCTGGGATTCTTTTAGACACCACTAGAGATGAAATAACTAAAAACTACATTTTTTTTTTACATATATCAATTTGCTTCTTTGGATCTAGTTGACCTTATTTTTTCAATCTTTTCTAGTTTATCTTCAGTATGTGTTTTTGGAGTTAGTATTTAATTGATGAATATTTGTTGTATTTGAAAGCAAAAACTGAGGTATTTTAATACATACAAGTGTAAGGATGGTCATGCGGAGTTGACACCTTTCTGTTTTGATTCACTGCCTATACAGATTTCATCATTGTAATATGAAGCCAGTGATGGATATCCATGGTATATTCTATTTGTTTTTCTGTCCAGCACTGGTATTTCCGGCATATTTAGTGCTTAGGATTTTGCTTCTTTTTTGTGTAGAAGAATATTGATAATGTTGTATATTCAACAAAAATTGCTAAATCTCTCAAGTTTACATTAATTTGCAATTTTTATGATTCTGCCTCTTGAGATTTCCTGGAAGGTATTGCTTCACGTAATTCATGGGAACATTCACAATTGGCTGAAAGCAGACAGATGCATATGGAGTGTGCAACGATGTACTGAATGGGTGGACCTTTGTCAAGCTCTCTTGCAACCTGATGTCCTTCAGACATGCTCAGAAACTAATTTATAACACCTCATGAGTTTCTTTAAATTCCTGTAACTACCAATTCTCAATAAAGAAGATAAATCTTATGCCAAGTTTCACAAATCTGCCATCTGCGTCCATTTAAAAAAATCTGTTCAGAGACATTATCGTTCTTAAACACTGGGAGAAGGGCAACGTAATCACTATGCCAAAGGTTTTTTTCCTCCCTTATACTTTAAAATGAGAAAAACTATGATAGATAGGAAAATAATGGAAATTCAAAGGTGAGGAAACAGGGAATTACATAAGCTATTTCTGAATAACAAGTACCAGTTATTCAAATTAAGTTACTTTTCAGTTAACTCATTTTTATTAATATAATATTATTTATCCTTTTGGTGCTATATAAATAAAAATTAAGCTTAAAATGAGAGGACTTTTAGTGGAACAGTGAAATATATATAATACCAATTCAATGTGTAGAAAGATTACATTTCCCCATATGTCTCAACAGGATAATCCTATTAAAACAAATATTATAGAGAATTGTTTGAGTCAATTAGATAACCTTACTAGCTGAAAGTTCTTAGTAACATAATTATGGCTATGGGACACTGAATTTTCACAGTGCATTTGTACAATTATTACCAACAGTTTTCACAGATATTTCTGTAACCTTATGCAAAGAAAGTCTGGATTGAAAGGACAGAGATAGAGAAAATAGAGTACATCCAGATGAAACAAACAAACAAATAAACAACTCTTACAACATTACATTAATGATATAATTACATAAACAATACATATACAAAATAAAGTAATTAAAAGTTTCTAACTATTCACGACATAGTTAGGAAAAAAATCTCTTCTTTTATCCATATATAAACTGTTGATATGAGAAGGTATTTGTTATTTCATCAAATTTGGTGTTACATAGCAGAGAATCTCATCTAAAAAAGATATTAAACAGAAAATACATGCACACGACACGGGAAACTAAAAATTGAATCACACAAACCTACACAGGTCAGAAATCTGAACTCAGAATGCAGTTACTGCAATTGAGCAATCTGTAAAAATCCTATGGATGTATACTGAAAATGCATTTAAAAAAGATATTCTAAATTTGAAAAGCACTCTGTTGCTCAGAGAAAAATCCTCATAGATAAGAACAAGGATTAATTTAAAATTGTTTTTTGGAAAATATACTTGAAATCAACAGAAGCGTCAGTCTGGGAAATGGTGCAAGCATCCATCAGGACATCTTGCAATACTTGAAAGTGAGTATTTTGTTCACATTAAAACAGCAGTAACTCAGACTCTTTGTTTTAGATTAGAATTCTACACAAGATAATTTCAAGTACAAATTAATTGACATTAATTACTGTTAAGGTAACATGAATTAATTAATAAGTATTAATGCTAACTCCTTACAGAAGTTACACTTCTTCCTTTGCTGATACCATATCTGCACCCTCATCTTCTGTTCTCCACATTCAGAGAGGCTAAAACAATTGACTGGATCCTCATCTTGGTGTGCTGATTTCTGTAATCACTTGGGTTCTGTAACAGTTTCGGGTTTCGGCTAGTCTGTGAGCAAAAGCTAACCTGATGCAGCACAGCTGTGTGACCTCACCTGAGTTTTTCTGACAAAACTGGTGAGCTGTGAAAAAACCCTGTAAGTTGAGAAAGATGAAAGGACTGACTGAAGTGTAGTTTTTGAGTTACGCATATGTTCTACACAGCACAGAAACTCAAAGTTCACAGAAATTATGAATTGGTGCATTTACTTAAAAAATTCAAAGGGAAATTGCATATAATAAGAAAAACAGCACTGATGCTGATTTTTATATATCTTACATATTCCTGTATTTTGGAGTAGGATCTCTCATAGATTTAAGATACTCTTCCTTTTTTGTCACAAAAATACAAAGCAGTTTCTATTACGGTGGTCTAATACATAGCCAAGTAAAACTGAATAGCACAGCACTTTGACTTTATCATGGTCCTGAGATTTTGTTAGCCTCTCAAAGCTGCTGCGATACTGGAGAAACACCAATGCATCATTAAACTATAATTAAACAAATAGACAAGTAGATAGGTAAATAGACAGAAAGGTGCCTAACTGAATCCCTTTGCGTCTTATAGATGAGGAGGAAGCTTTGCCCTTCCGTGTTAGGTTTTTTCAACCCAGTGCCAAGAGCTCAGTAAGAATGAAGGAAAGGGACACGTAGGCTCCACATTCTGCCAAGCTGACAGCTCTGTTTTCTAGCTCTCAGTCAGAAAATTTCTGTCTGACGGTGCAAACTTGTGCAATATCTCCTGCTGAGTGACAGCTGGGAAATAACCTACAGATTGGACTGTCTAAGGGGTATCAGTGATTAATGTTGCCCCTAAGTGGTTTTCTTCTCAGAAACCACTTAGACCTTGCCTTAGCAACCTTCAGAGTTAGGTGTTTGCATCCAGGCACCCTGCCATGGACCCACTAGTGTGACCTACGGTAATTACTGTTCAGACTTTTCACACTGGAATTGCTTAAGTCTATGAGGAGACACTTTTATACTACACTATATATCTTTATTATAACATGATATTACTTACAGACAAGTCAAACAAAAGCATCAGTACCAAGTCTCTACAGAAAAAAAACAGCAGTGTTTTTCTCTACAGAAAAAAAACAGCAGTGTTTTAACAATATCTTAGAGAATAACGCAAATCTTTAAATATCTTAAATTATTTTAATGCTGGAAAGCAAGTATATCTTGCTAAACTGTAACTAAATCCACAGCAAATGTTGTGTGTCTCAAAGCATGCCATTTCGAATTTAGTTAAGTCAGGCATGAAGCACACTGTAAAGAATTTTGACAGCATTATAAAAATGCTAGTTATTCCGTATTAGTGAAGGACCTTCTATCACCTAGGAACATAAACTGGTGGCAAGTGTGTTTCTCAAAAAGCAAATATAAAACCAAAAAATAACTGACTGATGAATGGATGTGTTTCTGCATTTTTTCTCAAAAAGTATTTTTCCTAGATTCTTTTAACATTAACAATGATATCTCTGTATATTCCACCAGAATACAGAGATGATGCTGGACAATTATGATGATGGTATGAATAAAATTTAGCACACTGATGTATATATTTTCTTTCAAGTAATGTCTATCTACAAGTCTGAATATATTTCATCTAAGTTTTTTATCACAATTCACTAGCTAATCATTCTGACACTCTTAATTCTCTGGATAAGAAACAAATGTTCTAAAGTTAAAATATTTTATCACATAGATACAACATGCCATAATCACAGATATTTGGAATAGCATCTAAGTAGCACAGCCTTTCCCTCATCCACATGATGGCACTCAAGATGATCCGCTCCGTAACTTTCTCTGGCACTGTGGTCAGACTGACAGGCCTGTAGCTCCCTGAATCCTCCTTCTGGCCTTCCTTGTAGACATGGGTCACATTCATTAACCTCCAGCCTGCTGGGACCTACTCAGTTAGCCAGCACTGCACGTAAATGATGAGAAGTGGCTTCGTGAGCACTTCCACCAGCCCTTGGGTGGATCTCATCTGGCCCGATAGACTTGTCTGCATCTAAATGGAGCAGCAGGTTGCTAACCATTTTCCATTTGACTAAGGAGGCTTCACTCAGCTCCCTATCCCTGTCTTCTAGCTCAGGGGGCTGGGTTGCCAAAGAACAACTGGTCTTATTCAAGACTGAGGCAAAGAAGGCATTAAGTACTTCAGCCTTTTCCTCATCCTTCATCACTATGTTTCCACCCACCTCCAATAAAGGCTGAAGATTCTCCTTAGTCCTCCTTTTGTTTTAATGTGTTTATAGAAACATTTTAGATCAGTAGCCAGTTTAAGTTTCAGTTGGGCTTTGGCCCTTCTAATTTCATCCCTGTATAACCTCACATCATCCTTGTAGCCCTCCTGAGTTATATCTTATTTCCAGTAGATATCTGGTAAGTTGAAGTTCCCCCAGAGAATAAGGGCTAGAGACTATGAGACTTCTCCCAGCTGTTTATAGAATATTCTGCCTGCCTCCTTAATCCTAGTTGGGTGGTCCGTAACAGACTCCTACCACAAAATCTGTATTGTTGGACTTCCCCCTAATCCTTACTCATTAACTGTCAACCCTTTTATCACCAAGTTTTAGACAATGAAAACTCTCCCTAACATAGATGGCTATCCTACAGTCTCTCCTTCTTCGTCTAACTCTTCTAAAGAGTTTATAGCCATCTAGTGCAGAATTCCCATTGTGTGAGGCATCCCACCACATTTCTGTGGTGGCATCTATGTCCATAGTTTTCTTGCTTAACAATGGCTTCCAGCTTCTGTTTGTCATCCATGCCATGTGCATTGGTGCAGATGCACTTCAGCTGGGATATCGATCCCACCACCTTTTTTGCATGGAGAAGCCCTAATTCCTGTGTGACCGTTCTCAGGCACTTCTATGGTTTCTACATATCAGTAAACATTGTGACTTTGCTGCCACATGGATCTCCATCCCCCACCGAGATGGCAGACTGAAGGACCTCGCTAGCACACCATTCCTCAAACATTGCCATGATTCCCCCAGGCTTATCTCCAGCAAGCCTTGTTTTATCCCTTTCCCCTTTCAAGTATAGCTTAAAGCTCTTTCAGTGAGCCCTGATAATTGCTGTGCAAAGATACTTTTCTCCTTACAACAGGCATACCCCGTCAGCAGGCCTGGTGTTATGTAAACTGATCCATGATCAAAAACCTGAAGTTCTGCTGCTGAAACTACATTCGGATCCAGGTACTGATCTGTTGGCTCTCCCCTTTTCTTCCTTCCTCATTCCCTTAAACTGGAAGGATAGACGACAACACTGCTTGTGCTCCTAATCCCTTAACCAGCTGTCCCAAGCCCCTGAAATCTTTCATGATTGCCCTGGCATTGTTCATTGCAACTTCATTGCTGCCTACCTGAAAAATCAATCATAGATAGTAATCTGAGAGCCATATCAGGGTAGGAAGCTTTCTCTTCACATTTTTAACCCAGGCTCCAGGGATTCAGTGGATGTGGTCTACATACTGGGCCTTCTGTTCCCTTTAGAAGTAAGTCTCCTGTGACAATCACCCCTCTTTTTTCCGTTATGGGAGCAGTTTTGACTGATACAGATAAATGGCTACAAAATGAATGTGAAGATTCATCTGTCATATTTTTTCAACCTTAAAATTCTATTGATAGGCCCCTTCAGTATCCTTTAAGCCTTTTAAAGTCCTAAGCCTTTAAACCTTTTAAAGCACTATTCAGCATGAGAAGAGATGGAACAATCTAGTCTCTATTTTTTTTAATTTACCAACACTACAGAGTTAGAGGGATAGCTATTTGGGGAACTCCTGAGTCATTAGGAAATGTTAATCAGATTTTCAGAAATGCTTGTAATGTCAAGTTTCATGCATACTGTGTGCAGGCCTCATTTGGTATCAGATGATGGGAATTTTGTAAAACATCTGTTAAAGGTTGTGATGAATATTCACGGGCACAGTTATCATCACCTGTTTAAATGCAGCTCTGTGTTTTAGATGGCCTGGAGACCCACTGTTGTAAGGGAAAATACAGCACAAGATTTTCTTGCAAAGATAATTTTTTGTCAGTTACATTACACAGGGAATAATCAGCATATATTGAAATCAGAGCTCACAGCTAAGACCAAAGCCAAAAAATCGAGGAGCTGTTGCCCCAACATATTAGGGCTCTTCACTCTTGCATTCCCAGCAGTAATGTGGAAATAGGGCATGGCAGCTTAAGAGAGTCCTAGAACTGAGAGGGCTTTTTTCCCATTCGTCATTAATACTAATACACTATGTAGAACCTGTTATAGTGTATGCATACCTGATCTGAGACTCCTGCTTTCTTGCCTCTAAAGTTCATTTTTGTCCGTCTCCTAATTTCAGCAATGGCACTGATGGAATGTGCTAATGTATTTAATGCACTATAATTCAGTTACTCCCTGTAAATGTGAGGTGGTCTGGCCATAGGGTTTCTTGTTGTTGTATCTTTGGGATGTAGCCAAATATGAGAGTACTGAAAGCCATGGTCCACCACATTTAATTGCTGTTGATTTGATGGGAGCTTTTACATATGTTTATTGTAGTGAGTACATTTAAAATTATGTAAATAGCTGCTCGTTAGAATATAATTAATATCAAATATAAAGAGACATGTAAGAAGGAAAAATAGCTGCTTAATGTAGCTATTTGCATTTAAACTCCTGACTGGCCCTGCTATAATGCCTATTTTCTTTACACACTCTATTATGCAGTGTATATTTACCCCTTCTAGATAACAATGTATTTAAACATTTTTTTTTCTCACTGAGCTGTATTGTTATTATATTTGTTCAACAATTTTCTCTCTGATGCAGTCAGGCAAAAATGGTATAGCAAACATTTCAAACACAAGGCTTAAAGATGGCCAAGAAAATAATCTTTAGATTTACACAAAAAATGGAATTCTAGTCAAAAAGACCTTTGATTCAGAACCTAAAGCAATTCCAGTTACCAAAGATCCTGGGAGATCACTTCTCCTCACATACATCAGGACAGTAAATGCCCTGTTCTCAAAAGACATAAATCTTAAGCATAAATGTCTTAGGGTTACATTTTTCATAAATTAGTGTTTGCATCAAAAGCACAACTGAAAATACAACTGTTTTGATTTTGCATTAGATACAGACACAAAACAGTCTTGCAAGTGAATAGGTGTTTAGTCCACAGTTTATTGTTCTGAAAAATAAAAGCAGATTTTAGATCTTTGCTGTGTTTTGTCCCCAGGTTGACTTAAGGCTCTATTTTACACCATTTCCTCATGATAGGCTGAAAAACAGGGCATTCAAACTCTCAGACAGCTTTATCAAAATAATAAAGAGGAGAGTTGGCAAATACACCTAAAACCTTACATATTGAGTCCTGTTTTAAAATTATTTTTCACATGCAATTACACCTTTCAAAAGACTTTAAACTTGCAAAAGTCCAAGCAATTGATTCTTTTTTTTTTCCTAGAATTTCTTTGAGGTTTTTGCATTCTTGGACTTTGTGCCTTAATCTAGTATTTCCAAGCAGTTTATTTTAATTTACTCATTTGTTCCCCTCGTTGCTTTGATAACTGCTTTTAATGTACATTGCCTTGTTTTTACCTTGGCTTCAATTTGTTTAGTATCTTGGTTTTGGAATAAAAATTTGATTTTGCTCTTTCCATCGTCTGAAGAACCTTTGAGCTGGGAAAACTTGTACCTCCAAAGTACGACCTAGAGGAAAAGAAAAGAAACATAAAAAACCATACACAAGCAAGTCAGCGTAGTTATCATTGAAAATTGTATTCAAAATAGCTGATCTCCTTCCAAGGGAATTTTTAATCCCTTTAGAGTACATGATTAGATCAATACAATGTTATGTGGTCTGATGTCCTTTTGATCATATGGATCTATTACAGCGGCAGTGTCTGATTCTGATCAGACAGTCTGACGACTACATTTGTGACATTTACTCTGAAATTCCTTTGTTTATACTTAATCATGATTAAACAAAAAAAAAGAGCATTAGTAAAATCATTGTCAAGACAAAAAAAAATTTTTTTTTTCCACTGATGATCTGTGGACTCCCTACTCCTTCTGAGATCAGAAGTCCTCTCTTTTTTTTTCTACAAAAGAAGTCTACTTGTATTAAAACAAAGGGCATATCAAATATGCCCTTTAAAGTATAAAATAACAAAAAGAAACTTAGTATTGAGAACTTAATTTGAACTTACTTATGAGAGCTCTAATCAGGAATTAGAATAATAACTAGAAATATTTGACTTTTTGTCTCGGTCTTCACTGGCCAGTGCTCTAGCCACACCACTGAAGTCTCATAAGGCAAAGGAAGAGACTGGGAGAGTGAAGAACCTCCCACTGTAGAAGATCAGGTTTGAGACCATCTAAAGAACCTGAAAGTGCACAAGTACATGGGGCCTGATGAGATACATCCACGGGTAGTGAGACAACTGACAGATGAAGTGGATAAGCCACTGTCCATCATATCTGAGAAGTCATGGCAGACTGGTAAAGTTCCTGATGTCTGGAAAAGGGGAAACATAACTCTCACTTGTAAAAATGGAGAAAAAAAAAAGATGACCCAGGGAACTACAGTCCAGTCAGTCTCATGTCTCTGCCCAACAAGATCATGGAGTAGATCCTCCTGGCAAATATGCTAGGGCACATGGAAAATAACGAGGTGACAGCCATTGCTTCAGTAAGGGCAAATCATGTCTAACAAATTTGGTAGCCTTCTATGATGGGGCTACAGCATCGGTAGATAAGGGAAGAGCAACTGATGTCATTCGACTGGACTTGTACAAAGCATTTGACACTGTACCACAGGACATCCTTGTCTCTAAATTGGAGACATGGATTGGACAGATGGGCCTCTTGGTGCATAAGGAATTGGCTGGATGGTTAAACTGAAAGAGTTGCAGTCAATGGCTTGATCTCGAAGTGGGGACCAGCAACAAGTGATGTTCCTCAGAGGTCGGTATTGGAACTGGTGCTAACTTTGCTGGCGACATGGACAGTGGAATTGAGTGCATCTTCAGCAAGTTTGCTGATGACACCAAGCTGTGTGGTGCAGTCAACATGCTGGAGGGAAGGGATGGCATCCAGAGGAACCTTGACAGGCTTGAGAGGTGGGCCTGTGCAAACCTCATGAACTTAAAAAAGGCCAAGTACAAAGTCCTACACCTGGGTTGAGGCAATCTCAGGCCACCAATACAGGCTAGGGGATGAAGGATTGAGAGTAGCCCTGCACAGAAGGACTTGGGGGTTCTGGTGGATGAAAAGCTGAATATGAGCCAGCAATGTGTGCTTGCAGCCCAAAATTTGCATCCTGGGGTGCATTGTGGCTAGGAGATCAAGGGAGGTGATTCTGACTCTGCTCTTGTGAGACCTCATCGACATCAGTGTGTTCAGGTCTGAGGTTCCCAGCACAAGAAAGATGTAGACCTGTTAGAGAGGGTCCAGAGGAGGGTCATGAAGATGATCAGGGAGCTGGAGCACCTCTCCTATGAGGACAGGCTGAGAGAGTACAGCCTGGAGAAGAGAAGGCTCTGGGGACCTACAGGAAAGATGGGGAAAGACTGTTTATCAAGGGGTGTAGTAACAGTACAAGGAGTAATGGTTTCAAACTGTAAGAGTGTAGATTTAAATTATATATTACAAAGAAATTCTTTACTGTGAGGGTGGTGACACACTGGAACAGGTTGCCTAGAGAAGTTGTGGAAGCCCCCTCCCTGGAAAAGTTCCACGCCAGGTCGGATGGGGCTTTGAGCAAATTGGTCCAGTGGAAGGTGTCCCTGCCCATGGCAGGGGATTCAGAACGAGATGATATTTAAGGTCCCTTCCAACTCAAACCTGTCTTTGATTCTACAAATCTATGAATTTGAGATCATTAATTCTATGCATATTAGCGGCCTTTCAAGTAATTATATTATGAATTGCATTGTCTCTTGGTGAAGAGAAAGACAGACTGTTCTACAAAATAAACATACAATTAAAAAATTTAACAGCTGGTTAGAAAAACATGTTTTCTATATATATAATTTATGTAGAAAAATTACATTACAAGCTACTTTGCTTAAAAGTTAAAAAGAGTTATTTTTTAATTTTATATTTTCAAACTTATTTAAATATATCCCCCATCCTCCAGATGTTTTTAAGCACTAGCATTTTTCAGTTCTCACTCACATTGTGCTATTACTTTGAGAAGACATCAATTACACATGCATCGGACACCACAGAAACTTTAGGCAAGAAGTGGTGTTCCATTTTCTTTTCTGCAAGGGTTTGTAAATGACTTACACTCAGTTCTGTAGCATGACACTTCATCTGTACCCTTTGTCTATATGAAGGACTTCTATTTGAAATTAAACAGAGTCAAATTTTTTAAACAGGTCAAATTTTTAACTGTCCTCAATCTATGCAGGTCACTTGCTTCAGGATATGTTGATCTCTTTGTGTCAATGACTGGCAAAAATCTCTGACCTGCTCCAAGCTGTGTCTGTCTTAATAACTTGAAGAGGAAAAAACCCCAAAGGGCAGTATTTTAATTGTACACAGAACACAAACCAAGTGCTAGATTTATCTTCCCAAAAATTCTTTCTATGTGTTTGCCCCTTTCAGATAAACCACCCCCCCCAATCTCAGTACTGCTTTCATTCTCTGTGTGTATGTGACAGGTGATTTCCTGTCTACCATAAACAGAGTCAAGGATATTCTGTCTCAGATAAACTACAGGAATCTGGCAGTTTATGTGAAACTATATCATATTTGTTTCAAATGCTGTCCTCCTGAGCTGACCAATCTGCACTGAAGAAAATAGAATAGCTTTCATTATCTCTAAGCATATGCCTTTCACCTTGTTTGATCAATGATGTTTACTTATGTCCTGTACACAGTGAGTTAAAAAACCCAAAACAATCCAGCATACCATTCAGGTGTCCATACTTCCTATCTACACTGTAAATTCCTTTTTGTACAGACCTATGTAACACAACAAATCTTGTCAGAAAATCGAGACCATTGCCTTTCTGCAAGAACAGCAAATCTATTTAAGCATGTCATTTCCTAGATGAAAAATGTAAAGGGCATTTATGGGTCTCTTTATCTCAGGAGAAAAACAATCAAAAAACAATCTATCATCTTTCTCATCTCTGATGATGTATGGGGATGCCAGGAGAGAGGTGCAGGACCAACAGGGAGCTTTAGATGGGCAGGCAAAATCCTAGGGTACCTGGCCTGATTCCCAATTGGATTAAGTTTGAGTGAAGATAAAGCATGTACAGAACTACAATACTGCATCTTCCAAGAAGTTTTGCCACTCGCTTCATTCCAGCACAGAGGAAAGAGGATGACAGTCACACCAGACCACAGGCATGATTCAAGAACACATTTCAGTTTATGCATAACATTGGTTTTGGAGAGCCCTACTTAGCAGATACTTAGGCTCTTACTTAAGTACATGGTAAAATCAAGTCTATAGTGTGGAGGGGACAATATTCTTTTTGAGACCAATCCCAAAAAGACTTCACTTCTCCCATCAGGATATCAAAATAAGTTCATAGAACTGACAATTCAACAACATACTTATCAGAAACTATTAAATAACACTTGTCCAAAGTGTAAGGAATAAAAATGCTATTGACAATGCATGTGACTATTCCCAAATGAAAGAATTGTCTTTTTCTGTTGAGAATTCTTCAGCAAATTGAAGACATTTTTTTTCCAATGATGTCCACATGAAGGAGGGTTACTTTTGCAAAAATAAGACTGGGGAAATGTTGTGAGTTTGAAATTATTAAGTCAGTAACAGAAAGTATTTCAACCATTCACACTGATCATCCTGGCCGCTCATTTTGTTCCAGAGAATTTCTAAATAACAGTTCCTTCATCCTGGTTTGAACTGGGCTGAATACTGCTTCACTCTTATACACACTGGATGTGTCTACATCTCTATGTACCACACTACATTAGAAGTGTAACAACTAGCTGAAACTAAATGTCCCAATTCTAGATAGCCAAAATTGGGTGAATTAGTTAAGCACATGCCCAGTGAGATCCATTTAATTTCTAGTCTCTTACCAAAGAAGCCAAAATGCTGTCCTGTGTAGTTAGACGCAGAATGCTGTCAGATCACTCTCTTAAAATACAATATCTTGGGGATCCCTGGGTGGGTTAACTCCTTTTGTGGTTACAAATGTTCTGGGGGGTTTTTTGTGTGTGTGTGTGTTTTTTTTTTTTTCTCGTTACTGCAAAATGCATAAACAGTGAACAGTGATCCTTCTTCAATGACTATCTCATAGTGCCAAAGCAGAAAGGAGAAGCAAGACCTACTCACTTAAGCAACCAATTTCACAAACACATGAAGCTACAGCTGTGGTATAAACATATGAGAGAGAGTTTCACATGCTGCTATCTTTCATGTTCCTGTGGGCTGACTTCATTACCACAGTGCTCGCTGTGGTGACTGTGTGAATTCTGATTTTAAAAGCTAATTCTCCTGCATTAGGAATAAGCATCCTCGAGGATAGTGATCTATATATGCCACTCTGAAAGGCAAGTGAACGATTTTCTATGTTTCTGAACATCACAATTCCTCAGAAGTATTTGTTGGATACTTGCCTCAGAGACTTAATATAAATTGATATAATTTTGTACAAATATATATGTATTTATGTATAGAATAACTTGTAAGTGATAAAATGACTTGTAAAACATGT